TTAATGGTATACTCTTTTATAAAGATTTAAATAGTTTTCTTTTTGCATACAAATGGGCTAGTAATATTATCGTTTTGCTAAAAACGATAATATTACTAGCCCATTTGTGTAACTATTACTTCATTTTTGCTAAAAACGATAATATTACTAGTCTGTACATTTTGTACATTTGTTGCTTTCAAAACAATCTAAAATGTCAATATTCCATGTATATATTGATAAATGAGGTCTAAATTATAAGAAAATGCATTTTCTACGAAAACTTGAAGGGATAGGTAAAAAATGGTATAATACAATTTGATAGACAATTTAATTGTGCATCTGATTCTCCTAAAATATACAGGGCATTCTATTTAAATTAAAGAAGTTATTGCCGTTTGAAGCTAATAATTATTTAAAATAAATTTTAGACACTCTGTATAAGGTAGTATTATTTTTATTATTGCAACACAATAACTGATCAATAAATAAACTTCATTAAATATTTAGTATTAAAAACATTGATACCCTTGGAGAAATGAAGCTTTAAAATTTTTACTGCAATTTCACAAAATTGAAAATATTTCAAAAGCGGTAAGGTTTAAGTATAATAAACCTTAATCAAATTTACCTTTATTTTAATCGTAGAAACTAAAAATGTAATAATATACAGGGTGTTCCATTTAAAAAAATGCAACTTTGATATTTTTTATTTATTTGGGACACTCTGTATCTTGTAAAAGTATTTTTAAATTGTAGCTCTAATAGTCCTTCAACGAACCCCACACTTTCAATTTGTAAAAATCTCATCGTTCAACTACAATACTCCGTGTCGTATGTGGTGAACAACCCTGTATATTCCTAAACAACCAAGGATATAAAAATAAATCTTTAAAGGTAGACTCGTATTCGCTTACACAGGGTGTTTTTATTTCTTGACTAACATTGTAATATTTTAAATGCTGTAGCCCAACTTATTTAAGTGCAATACCCTGTATATTATTTTTCTTTTGGAGGCATGTGCATTAAATAACCAACATTTTTTGTACTTAAAGTGTTTCTAAATTTTTAACGGTATTGACGGCATATATTTGTGCAATTATATTACATATTTATGACTCTTTTAATATTAAAATATAACCTAAAAAATCATTGGGTGGCATTGATAAAAAATTACTGTTAAAAGAACCATAATATGTAATATAATTTTGCAAATATCTGCGGAAAACTGTCATATATTGTCAACAACGACGATATTAGACTCTCTCGAACTAATGGTCCACTCTCAGGGGCGTAGATTGGTGTATGCTATGGGGGTGGTAGTATGATTAAGTCGCAAAAAAAATCACCGTCGGAATTTTTTTGTCGAATTAAAACGACGGCGATTTTTTTGTCTTCAAAAAGATATAAAAACATAACAGAAAAATTAAAATATAGATTTGTAAATAACATAAACAAAAATGAAACAACGACGTTTATTAGTTAATTTTCTATAAACTTCGAAAATAATAATATTTTCTATAATATCTTTATGGATATTGATTAGAGTTAACCCCACTAATCTGTCCTGGCCAATAAGGACACTTTGTGTGCTTTTAATTAGGTCGAACATATTATAAACGATAAATCAACATAATTAAAAGCATACAAAGTGTTCTTATATGTCGGATATTAATTAAAAAAAAATCTTTCATAGTCAATGACTATTTCAATTCTCGTATCTCGTCAAGCGTCAGGGGGGGGTACTGTCCCCCAGTACCCCCCCCCTTATCTACGCCCTTGTCCACTCTGTATATTACCTGTAAAAACAAATTTAGTTTTTTCATAATACCCCTGTATTGTTACAGAAAAAAAATACCTATATTTTTATAGAGATTAATTTATCATAAAATTTATATTTATTTTTTTATCATAATAGGTACCTATTACCTATTGGATATTTTGTTGTTTGCATGCTGTTATTTTCAATTTAACTCTATTTTTTTTTTGTTCTAGTATATCCTGTTCTTCACCACGATGTGCTGCGACTATGCCATCAGAGAAAAAAGGAGATTATTAAAGACCTGTCAAGATCTGCAGAAGCCTCTTGACATCTTTTCCAAGAGGCACCAAGAATTGGAGGACTTTGTAGAGCAACTGAAAGTGGTGTACATCAAATTTACCGCCTTTAGATGTTTTGTTGTTGACAGGAACGCCACTATAATGTTTATTAGTGTTATATCAAATTATTTTATTGTATTGGTACAGTTTTTGAACTAGAGTCTCGTAATAAAAGATCTTTATATGATGTATGCTCTTTTACTAGAACAGTTCGTTGTACAAAATTTGCTGCTAACTATTATTTTTTGTAATAAATAAATATCAATTAAACATACTATGATTTTCAAAAATAACCGAAAAAATTTGCTAGTTATAAATTTTGAAATTTGAGAATTTTAACGTATAAAATGAAAATATTGGACATTTTATACCGGGTGCGTCTCAAAAGTGGCTCATTCCTATAACTTCTAACTTAACAGATAAAAAAACGAGATTTGGTAGGTACAGTACGTCTGTCCGTTCTGTGGCTACGGGGTATCCGTGAGAGGGGAAACGATATTCTCTCGATGTTTTTCGTAAAAAATTAGACGACGCGTCCCATCAATAAAAATTCGACAAATTTGCAAGTAGCCAATAAAATGTGTGGGCGGAGCGATTTGCGGTGACGTACTCGTCAAGTCGACGTATAAAATATATTGCTGTTTATTTAAATGTTTTTTAACATAAATTAGGATTGACTGACGTATTCAGTTATTTTCGGTCACTTCCTGTTTCACCGGAAAAGATTTTTTGCTTTTTAAATGGCACAATCTGTATATTTCTACTTTATTCGATAGAAAATGACACTCTGAAGATAATGACATATCATATGACAACTTTTGAAATTAATTAGAAAAAAATGTATTTTAAATTTCAATCTAGAGTGCCGTGGCTGTGTTAAAAACACTAATTTTTAATCAAGGAACCTCGGAAAAATAGATTTGATTTGTATTTGATCGTAATCGTATTTTTAATCATATTTCAATTTTTCAAATGGAACGAGGGTGGCTCGTTTGGAAAAAACATATTTTTACGAATAATTTGGTACCACACACTTGGTATTTCGAGTCAAATTGTCGTTATGAACCGCATGTTGCAATTTAAAATAAACCGTAATTGAAAATATCGAAAGAAAAATATCGATATCATATGTCAATGATATGTCGTTCTATTCAGAGTGCCATTTTCTACCGAATAAAGTAACAAATTACTTCCAAATACAAATTACAAATTTCCAAAAACAATTGAATACGTCAATCAATCCTAAATTATGTCATATAGGTACTAATTACTAATATACTAAATCTGGATTTTTTATCTGAAAAAATAAAGGAGTTATAGGGGTGAGCCACTTTTGAGCCGCACCCGGTATATGAAGATTTCTAGAAATGGTACACAACTTCTGAATCGTCTTACATATTTTAGCGACAGGAGTAAGACAGTGATTATTCTGGTTTGTTTGTTTATTGTTTATTTGTGGTCAGTGACCAGTGATCCGCTGTAAACCAACTTATAAAAATAAAATCTAGTCGTCCTCGTCCTGAAACAAAAACGCCCGAGCGGTACTACATAAGCAATTTTTTCTTTATTATTTTAGTCTTTTAGATCTGGAGAGATTTGAGGGGCACTATACAGGGTCCGGCAATAGTGCGTCGGGGATCTGTAGCTCCTAGAATAAAAAACTTGAGAATTTTGTTTAAGTGCAGACCTAAAGTATGTACCAGGATGTATTTCCGGAAAATATTTTAACTTCTCCAGGGTGGCTCAAAAAAGTGTGGGTGGATCTGGATGATTTTTTTAAATGGAACACCCTGTATATTATTGCATTTTTGGCTTCCTTTCAGATCATTTTACATAATCCTAAGATATGAGTAAATCTATTTCGATAGTTTCAGAGATATTAAAAAATAAATACAAAAATATGTATTTTTCAACCCTTCTTAAAAAAAATTAAAAATACAAGAACTATTCTGATATCAAAACTATATTAGATATTTACTTTAGATGGTCTGTTCTTACTGTGCTATAAATATGGTAATCGTAAATCATACAGGATGTTCAATATTTTACGCCAAACTTTAAAAAATATAAAATAATTTTTCTTGTTTTTTTTTAATGGAACACCCTATATATTATTTTTTTATTTGATGGAGAATTAAAAAATGAACATTTTTTGTATTTAAAGTATTTTAAAATTTTTAGTAGTTTTCCGGATACACGCAATATTATTTCATATAGCGCTTTCAATGGTAAAATACGAGAGAAAAATCATTGGGTGGGGCTTTGATCAAAATTTACTGTGGAAAATGCCATATGAAATACAAAACCGGGAATATCTGCGAAACCGTTAAAAATTTTGAAATACTCTAAATGCAAAAAATGTTCATTTTTTAATTCTCCATCTATTGAAAAAATAATATACAGGGTGTTCCATTTAAAAAACCAAAGAAAAATTATTTTACATTTTAGAAAGTTTGGCGTAGAATTTTGAGCATCCTGTATGATTTACAATTTCCGTATTTATAGCAAAGTAAGTACAGACCATCTAAAGTAAATATCTAATATAGTTTTGATTTCAGAACAGTTCTTGTTATTATTAATAATTTTTTTAAAAAAGACTGAAAAATATAAAATTTTTAATTATTTATTAATATCTCTGAAATTATCGGAATATATTTATTCATGTCTTAGGATTATGTAAAGTGATCTGAAAGGAAGCCAAAAATGCAATAATATACAGGGTGTTCCGTTTAAAAAAAGTCATCCAGATCCACTCACACTTTTTTGAGCCACCCTATAGAAGTTAAAATATTTTCCTGAAATACATCCTAGTACTTACTTTAGGTTTGCAGTTAAACAAAATTACCAAGTTTTTTTTTCTAGGAGCTACAGATGCCCGAAGCACTATTGCCGGACCCTGTATATATAGAATAAAACCTCAATCAATATAATAACAATTTATTTAGAACATAAATAATAACTTAAACTAAGCTGGCTATTTTTAACCGTGATGTCCGCCATGTCCGTGATTTCCCCCATAGTTTCCGTGGTTGCCATAGTTTCCACCGTGACCTCCATGGCCTCCATGACTTCCGTGCCCGTGATTTCCTCCGTAATGGCCTTGATTTCCGTGGCCACCACCATGACCGCCACCATGACCTTGTTTGCCATAATTGTATCCTGAAATTTAATTACAAAAATGTGATTATTTGAATATAATCGAAAAAAAGAACGGCGTCAAAGAAGGCTGGGAATGACAATCGATGACAATTTTGGCGAGGTCAGATATTGACATAAAACTTGTCAAAAATTAACACTGACGGCCAAGTAAACCAAGTAAATGACGTCTAGGGCTTGACCACCTTAAAATTATCAACGATTGTCATCCCCAGTCGTCTATGACGCCGTTTTTTTAACCGACCATACCGACAGGTATGGTAGGCTATTAAGATCGGCAAAAAAAAATATTTTCACTCCTCTGTCTGTCTGCCTGTCTCTCCGTCTGTCCGCCTGTCTGTCCGCCTGTAACACGATAACTCAAAAACCGCTAAACCGATTTTAACTAAATTTGGCACAAAAATACTGTGACACCCGAGAATCTGGCCATTAGTTTTTCGTGGGGGTGGGGGGTTGGTAAGGGGGTATGGGAGGGGGTTAAAAATTTTAAAAAATCGTAACTCCAAAATTACAGTAGCTAGCAAAACGCGGTTTTCAATTTAAGATTAGGAATAATATTTGTAACAAAATTTGTAATAACCTCAAAATCAGTCAGTCGCAGTTTTTGAGATAAAAAAAAAATCAAGTATGGGCGGCTATACGGGCCTCCCGGCGCCAATTTTTTCTATCGTATGGTATATTGTATTATAATTTACTTAAACATGAATAAATTTCCTCTTTTATAAACATTAATACAGCATTAATAGAGCAAGACCCCTAAATATTTAAGAAAAATTGGCATTAAACTAATATTAGGTATTCCTCAATTAGTCCCAAGCAAATATTATATCATATCTTTTAGCAATAACTTTAATATTATTATTGAAGTATGTACCAATAAAATAATTTGGAAATTGGTACTATGAGACAGTACTAATAAAATTCAAATTCCCTTTTAATTATAAATTATTATAGTACCCTAAATAGTATATAAGTACCTTTTAATTATATCAATTCACAGAAATTAAGGTGTAGGTACATTCTTTTGTTAATGTAGTACCATAAGTACCTAATTGTTACTAATATACGAAATAATAGGCGTACTGTCATACTGTAGAAGTTATACTATTAAAAAATGATATCTAAACAAAAAATGCTGGAGAAAATATATACGAAATAATATTAATAAATAGAGTATAACAGAACAATAAAAAGACAGAGAGAGAAAATTATAGATTTAAATTCATATTATACAGGGTGTCTCTGAAATAAGTGTAAATATTTTATCTTATAAAATAGATTTCCAGAAAATAGTTAATTATTAAGAAAAAAATAATATTCAGCATTAATAACACCATTAGAAATGTACAGGGTGAGTGAACGATAGAGTAAAGTTAATTATTTTCATTTGTCTAAAAGTTTAAAAAAAAATTGGAGATTTTCGAAAAAAACAAATATTTGCGATTTCATTTTTATTTTTTTGTGACTCTATTAGAATAGATGGAAAATGTAAATTTCCCATTTCCATTGCTACATTTTCGGTTCTACAAGATGGTGTTATCAGATTTTCAAACCGATGTTTCCTTTTTGAGTTGCCATCATCAACTTTATATGTATATTCAGTTACGACCCTGGATTTTTTAATTACTATATTAGTACTTAGCAAAGTACTACCTATATATTATATATAACTTTGCTAAGTACTGTAAGAATAAATTTAGCTTATCAAGAAAACATTTTCAGTGTATAATGAGACGGTTTCGCAGCAGTAGTAATATTGGCTTTTCAAAAAAATTTCAAAATAAACTAAAATTGCTATGAGAAAAAAAAAATATGTCGAAGAAAATTTCTATATCAGTATCAGTAGTCGTCAACAACTAGGTAATCTATTATTACCCTAATCTATGGCTATTCGCTACAAGGAAAAATCCAAGTGTCATCTTTCATAATATAGAAATACACCAAGAACTTCACGACTGTAATTCTAGTATACTTGAGTAAAGTTGATTAATATAAACTAATAATATCAATTGTAACTAATTACTAAACTGCTTGTTAATGATTAATAATAATTATTTGTGTTTTGTAAGGGCAACTGTGATGTTTATTTTGAATTAAAAAAACTAAAATATCCTTACATATATGTATCTTTTTCTTCATCTCTATAAAACTCTCCTACGAAATTTTAGTAGCACAACTTCAAAAACAATGGTTAGGTGACAATTTTTTAACACAATTAAATCTAACATTTGTTAAACTCAAATATTACAAAAACTATTAATTTTAGGTATATAACATTATATAGAAAGAAGTTAGTTAGAGTGTTACATATAAAAAACATATGTTATATCCGCCACACTTTTTGAAGCGCCCTGTATACTCTATAATATTCTTAAATTGTGTATATTAACCCTCCCTATAACTTTTATATTTAACATTTTTTTGTAAACCTCCAAACAAATGAGATAATGGACTTTACTCTATCGTTGACTCACCCTGTATATATAATTAAAAAAATCACTTACCTCTGCCTTTTCCAGGATCAGGGAGCGCAACAGCTAGCTGGAATACCACCAGTACCACCAAAAGAATAGAAACCTAAAAATATAACACATTTTGTCACAAAAAAAGTTATGTTAAAGACATTAACAAATTTTTTCTTACAATGAACTTCATGATGATCTTGTACGTTGATATTGATGTAAATGCTTCGTGTCCGTACTAACCAAGTACTACAGAGGAAATGAAGAGAGTCTAACCGTAAATAGATCTGCCTTTACAATTTGTATGTTTATATAGGTCCGATTTTACCTACTTATATAAATTATACGACACCCTAACGAACGAGGAAAGTAAAAATAAAATTCCGAAACCTGTCTCTCAGAATTTTCTGTTTTACCTGGTTTTCGGTGAATAACCACATAAAACAGGGTTGTATCAGCAATAAACTAAGAGTACATAGTATACTAGCGTGTACCCGCGACTAAAAGCAAAGCAAGAATTTCCATTAACATTTAACATACAAACTGGATAAAATTTTCTCACATTTATGTCAGCATAAGAAAAAACAATATGACGATATTATTGAATAACTTGGTAATATTTGAGGGGTAGTTTCATCTCGTTGGAATTTGACTTTCGAAAAATCCGTTTGCCAAAAATAAGCTTTTTACGTCAAGCAGTTTAAGCAGAATCGTGGTTAATCAATTACCCAACTTTTTGAAACACCCTGTATGATTTTTTAAAAAATTTCAAAATATGTAAAAAAAGAAAATAAATTATGCGTATACAAGCGTTTTCCCGAAAGACTAACCGTTTTTTAAATAACAAATATTGTAATATTTGAGAGGCGTTTTCACCCTCTTGGAATTTGATATTCGAGAAAACCCTCCTTATCGAACCTCTACACCCCACAGTCAATCCGTTTACCAAAAATCAGCTCTAAACGTCAAGCAGTTTAGGCAGAATCGAGATTACTCAATGGTCATATTTTATGAAACACCCTGTATAAATTTTAAAAAAATCTTAAAATATGTGAAACAACAAAGTAAAACATACGTGTATAAAAGTTTTTCCGAAAAACTCACCGGTTTTTATATAAAAAATGTTCTAATATTTGAGGGGTGGTTTCACCCCCTTAGAATTCGAGTTTCGAAAAATGCCTTCTTATCGAACCTCTACACCCTAAAGTCAATCCGTTTTCCAAAAATCATCTTTTTACGTCAAGCACTTTAAGCAGGTTCGTGATTAATCAATGACCAGATTTTTCGAAACACCCAGTATACATTTTTAAAAAATCTTAAAATATGTAAAGAACAAAATAAAATATACGTGTTTAAGCGTTTTTTCGGAAACTTGACCGTTTTTAAATAAAAAATATTGAAATATTTGAGGGGTGGTTTCACCCTCTTGGAACAGGAATTTCGAAAAATTCCTTCTTATCGAACCTCTACACCTGTATGCCAAAATTGTATGCCAAAATTGAGCTTCTTACGTTGAGTGATTTGAGCAGGATCGTGATTAAGCAGTATGTCAGTCACTTAAGGATTTTATATATTAGTATAGATTGTTACTTATTTTTATCCGCTGAATATGATGACGAAGTTTCCCCGAATACAATTCGGACCATCTTGTATAATTTACTGGTCAACGTCATTCATTAACGGGTTTTTTTGTTGTGACGATATTATACCAATTATAACCCACATATCTAAATATAAAATCTTTTTTTTTAAATAAATCTGCATATTATACCAAACAAAATACAAGTTCCATCAGTTATTCGCATATCAGACGTCTTGTTTTTGCATGATGTCGTCAGAAGAAGTTAGAATAATTATCCAAACCAGATTTTCTTTATATATACACAAAACACAAAATTATGACGTAAAAAAATGTAAGAAATTATGATATGGGTTTAGGTTATAGGGTTGGGTAAATGTAACTAAATGTCATAAATTATTGAATTTATTACATTTAGCCCTTCCCATCGAAAACATAAAATATAAAAAAATACCTAGTCCATAACGCAGTTCTTCTAAATAAAAAAAAATGTGAAATATCATGTAAAACCAAGTCATTTATTTTAGCTAATGGCTATGTCTATGGAATGACCTATTCTACATCTCTGTTAAAAATTATTAACTAATCAGTTGTCTATCGACATTTATAGTAACCGTATCAATAGTAGACATCTTTATTTCTATAATATAGATAATATAGATTCTTCTTTAATAAGTACGATTTAAAATTTGAAGTTTATGAGACTTCTAGAAGTACCTTAGAATTTTAATGATCGAGAAAAGGATGGTATGGCACTAAAAATCATAAAATTCCTGATTTTCCTTCTTAAAAAATATATAACTGATTTTCATTATACATGGTTATAACTGATTCACGGGGATTTAAGTTTCTTTGTATTTTTTTTTACTTAAACACAAATCTACACAACCGGCATATTTTATAAAACATTTTTATTAAAACACAAATAAATTACAAGTATTATCAATAAGTACAATCTACACAGAACTGGAAAATTTGATAAAAAGTCTTAATACACTAAATTTAAACATTTTGTACACATTTATTGGCAAAATACACTTTGATTTATAGTTATTGAATTAATATAACATCTAAACTCTTTTACCATAAGGTATTCAATGACAACAAACGAAAATAACGTCAAACTAACAAACTCATTTAAGATATATCTTCCTTCTGGAAGCTTTTTACCGTCCAAAGCCTCCAAATCCTCCTTGGTTACCTCCAAATCCTCCCTGGTTACCTCCAAATCCTCCTTGACTACCTCCAAAGCCTCCTTGGTTACCTGGAAATCCTCCACCTCCTCCAAAACCTCCCTGTTGCCCTCCAAAACCTCCTTGTTGTCCTCCAAATCCTCCTTGGCCACCTCCAAATCCCCCTTGACTACCACCAAAACCTCCCTGTTGTCCTCCAAATCCTCCCTGTTGTCCTCCAAATCCTCCTTGATTTCCACCAAATCCTCCTTGGCCACCGCCAAAGCCTGAAAAAAAATATGAATTTATTGTTAAAAAGGTGTTTTGACAAATCGGGTACACGGAAAAAATTAAATTGTAATAAACCCAAAAAATAAACCCCACAATTATTGTAGAAAACACTGCTCTGTATTTTGCGTCAAAAATGGTACTTGGCATTACCTTGTAATAATCAATTTTTTATTATTTTTGTTTTTTTTTACCTTGTGGAGCTGGTACTGAATATACCATGGATACCATCAGCACAAATATGGATATCTAAAACAAACAAGAAAAAAGCTATTCTAAAGAAATTAATAAAATAATTGAGAAGAACTAACATACAAAAATAATAACTAACTAAAAAAGTGTTATTTTCAACTGACTGTAGTTGGTGTGCGGCTATGAAAAAATATACCGAGAGTTTTTCAAAAGCGCCATACCGAGTGCCATACAAAATTTTAAATTTTATCTAACGGCAGAACTGTTTCATATCCAATCTCTAAAGAATAATTTTTGATTTAAAAGGATCTAAAAGTTCTACTTTCATTGTTGCGAATTAATAAATTATCAGGGTGCGTCTATGTTACTATGCAATAAAGATGTGCGTTTTGTTTTTTATTGTAAATAATAAATAGCACTAACATTAAGATGTCATTTAGATAAATCGCGATTTTTTACCGATAAAATAGTGAATTATCAACAAGCAAGTCAGATTTTAAAGAGAAATGATTCAGGAAGATCTTCCGCAAGTACTTGGGTCTACAACATCCTAAGCAATACACTGGCTAGTGTATGAGAAGATCATCCGCTACATTACTGGCAAATGCAGGAGTGAACATGACAACGTTAAAAGACACGGAGGATGGCGATCTGCAACGGTTGGGGAAGGATATATCGAAGAGTCCATCAACAATAAAATAGAGATTGCGAAAAAGATTCAAGGTGCTGTAAGTGTTCCAGAACGAGCCGTTGTAATGACAGATTTGGTAAATCCTAGGTTTAGCGCGTTTATCCTAGGTTTTACCACATTTCGGACATTTGCAGTAACATATACATGTGAGTAATGTCTGTATAAGTAGTGGATGTTGGATAAATAGTATTTTAAATTGTCTGGAGTCGCATGAATGTGTTAAAACCACTAATTTTTAACCAAGGAACGTTGGAAAAATAAATTTGATTGTCTAGTGTTTTTAGTGTCTTGTTCTGGCCGGTTAAAAGATGGCCAAATCGTATTTTTAATGATACACAAAATAAAAAAAATACTAAAATATTTTGCAAAGTACGGATTGTTAATTTTAATAAATTCAATAAATAATCAAACTATTTCATACAAATATACAAGACTTACCAGAAATACTTTGTTCATTTTATCGATTATAGCAAAAAATACAATAAGAAGAGCTGGAATCACGATATGGCAGAATTTTTTTAACTAAAACATCTCAAGCTGAGGTCTAGATTTTATATCAAATCCAAAACTATAAAACTATGCAAATTTTGCTAATAAATTTTGAGAAATTTAGTGAATTCCAAGGCTGGGACATCCACAGTTCTTGTTTTTTAATCTTTTTTTAGCATGTGTTAATTGGGGAAACAGAAATCTTCCTTCACTAAGAATTTACAATTAACTAAAAATTTGTTTATTTTGGTAATTTACGTTGATTACAATGTATATTTTAATGTGCATAAGATTTTCCGTTTATTTTTCAATAATTTTTTCTCAATAAAATTTGTATAGGGTGTCCCCTTTTCACGTTGCGTATTTTACACGGTTTCTATAGTAGGTATAGTATAATTCTTTTAAAAGTTCCTCAATATGGCCGACCTAGTTACGAAAATTGGTAATTTTTTTTAATGAAAAATAAGTTGGCGTTAGCGAATTCAGAAATGGATTTTATTCTTAGGAAGGAGCATAATGCTATCCATGTATTCATGCATGGTGGGCGGAAAAGCCACCATAAAAGCTCTCTAGGGTGGGGATCCTTGACAGTTCTGTTTGAAGATTCATTTGACACATTTGAATTTGATTTGAAATTTTGTAGATTTGTCAGTCTTTACGGAGCTTATTTTATGTTATTTATTATTTATTCTACTACTGATAGTTGTATAAAGGTAGTAAATCTAGATGGAAATTGTGGCAGAACTTAAATTAACAGTGACACTATCGCGATTTATCGAAAAAGACTCTAAAATAGTTGGTTGTGTAGCGTGCGGTAGATCTCGGCAAAAATTGAGCGAAATAATCGAACAACTTTTCGCTAGTAAGTGACTATATAATATACATACGTGTAGTAAACCGATCATCTATGAAATTCACTTAAATTAACTAAATTATATATTTTTCTTGCATTTTAGCTTTTATTTATTACTTGTCAAAGATTAGATGTCAAAGAATTTAGATACGTTAATTTGACTTACCTGCTTCAGTAGCGTATCAGATGTTTGTGTTAATAAATACTTATTATAACTTATCTATTTTTATTAGAATTATATATTTTTATAACAATTTTAATAACTACCAACATTTATTCACAACGTAAAATAAAACAACAAATTATTGAGTCTACCCCCGTCTACCCTACATCATAGTTTTACATTTTTTAAATAAAATTAGAACGACACTGATAAACCGGAATTTAAGTCGGCCATATTTGAGGCCCATCGCGGTGTACCTAAGATTTTTGATATGCTCCTTGCTTAGTCTTCTTATTCAAAGTATTCTTTGGTTAACAATAACATTTTTCAGGATTGTCAAGTTGACGTTAAAGTTAGATTATTAGGTGGTTGTCATAAATCATTAATAAAAACATAGATTATTGAAATTATTTAATAAGAATAAAGGTATTTTACAGCAGATCCGAAGAGATTTTACTTAAAGACTTTCTCAGTGAGAATATTAACTCCCTTGTTTCTTATTTTTTAGCTGTTTTTTAGTTAGGGACGTAAGAATTATAAGAAGTGAATTTTTGTTTTCATGTTTTGACGATATCTCAGAGTTCCTAGAATTATCAAGATTATTGAATAATTATAGTTGTTTAATAAGTGAAATTAATAGAAGACTTGGAAATAGGATGATGCGTTTCATGTTATAGCTGATAGATCACCCCATTTCTCTTAATTTGTTTTTATTTCAGTACAGTTAATCACAAATTGAATTGATGTATGCAAAAACAGCTAATTTAAATAGTTCTTTTATATACTGTTAAACTGTATCAACTACGAAGTCTTTAGCAAAAAGTTACAAGGTAATACATTTTGTAGATATAATTTATGAAAATTTATATATAAAGATTAGAACACAATCCTCTGAGATTAGTCATTCTAAATAACAAAAACAGATTTATTCAAAACCACAGAAATTCTTCAAGTTTATTTATAGATATAGATACGTTTAGATAGCGTTATTTTTACGTTATACAAGGACAATTTTTCCCAAAATACTTCTTGGTTGTTTGTCAACAATCTTATTTTACGTAAACGATTCGTCTTGGTTTTTTATGCATACCAATTTAATGTTACCGGAGTGAGTTGACCCCCATATTGACCAGATTTAAATCCCATTGAGAAAAACCTGATTTCTCCGGGGTAATTATTAAAAAATCAACAGCACCGGTTTTGTTGTTGTTTGTTTGGTTATCTCTGACGTTAATTTTGGATTTTAGCTGGATATTTACACATATATAAAGGATGAACTGACATTTTTTAAGACATTAGTAAAAAAGTGTATGTTCGTTTGTATTGAACAAGAGCCATAATACTCGTTTGCTTAAAAAAAGATTATTCAAGAACTCAAAGAAATGTTTTCAGCTGTAAGTAAAATTTTTTTTTGAAATGGTGCTGGACTTAAACAATTTAAGTAAATTTAATCTACTACATATGCAGCAATATTATCAACAAATTATGTTTTTTAACTAAAAACTAAGAAAATTTTCAAAAAAATTATCAACATTTTCCAAAAAAAATTATACAGGGTTGTTCACCACATACGACACGGAGTATTGTAGCAAAACGATGAGATTTTTACAAATTGTAAGTTTTGGGTTCGATGAAGGACTATTAGAGGTACAATTTAAAAATAATTTTACAAGATACAGAGTGTCCCAAATAAGTAAAAAATATCAAAGTTGTATTTTTTTAAATGAAACACCCTGTATATTATTACATTTTTAGTTTCTACGATTAAAATAAAGGTAAATTTAGATTTAGGTTTATTATACTTAAACCTTACCGTTTTTGAAATATTTTCAATTTTGTGAAATTGCAGTAAAAATTTTAAGGCTTCATTTCTTCAAGGGTATCAAAGTTTTTAATACTAAATATTTACTTAATAATTAATAATATTTACTTTAATACTAAGTTTATTTACTGATCAGTTATTGTGTTGCAATAATAAAAATAATACTACCTTATACAGAGTGTCTAAAAATTTATTTTAAATAATTATTAGCTTCAAACGGCAATAACTTGTTTAATTTAAATGGAACACCCTGTATATTTTACGAGAATCAGATGCACAATTTAATTGTCTATCAAATTATATTATACCATTTTTTACCTATCTCTTTAAGTTTCCGTAGAAAATGCATTTTCTTGTAATTTAGAACTTATTTATCAATATACCCATGGACTATTGACATTTTAGATTATTTTTAAAGATGTACAAATTTTTAAAGAGTACAAATATTAATATTGTCGATATAATTCGTTTATTTCATTAAAAAATAAAAAAAAACTGTTTAAATATTTGTTAAAGAGGATCAGTTAATATGATTCCAGTATTCAAACAACATTAACTGACTGTTTGCTTTGATTAATAATAATTGCTCCAAATACTAAAAAACTGAATTTTGTATGGGCATTAGACAGTGTGATAAAAAGTAACACCTTAAAAATGATATTTCATTTTTTAATAAATGCTTATTTATAACTACAGAGACTTTAATTTGATAACTTATTATTATATTGATTTCTGACTCAAATCCACATTTATTTATAATAATTTAATAACGAACACAATTAAGTATGTAATTAATTAGTATATGGGCGCAAATAATGGTGTTATATTTAATTAATGGTATACTCTTTTATAAAGATTTAAATAGTTTTCTTTTTGCATACAAATGGGCTAGTAATATTATCGTTTTGCTAAAAACGATAATATTACTAGTCTGTACATTTTGTACATTTGTTGCTTTAAAAACAATCTAAAATGTCAATATTCCATTGATATATTGATAAATGAGGTCTAAATTATAAGAAAATGCATTTTATACGAAAACTTGAAGGGATAGGTAAAAAATGGTATAATACAATTTGATAGACAATTTAATTGTGCATCTGATTCTCCTAAAATATACAGGGCATTCCATTTAAATTAAAGAAGTTATTGCCGTTTGAAGCTAATAATTATTTAAAATAAATTTTTAGACACTCTGTATAAGGTAGTATTATTTTTATTATTGCAACACAATAACTGATCAATAAATAAACTTCATTAAATATTTAGTATTAAAAACATTGATACCCTTGGAGAAATGAAGCTTTAAAATTTTTACTGCAATTTCACAAAATTGAAAATATTTCAAAAACGGTAAGGTTTAAGTATAATAAACCTTAATCAAATTTTCCTTTATTTTAATCGTAGAAACTAAAAATGTAATAATATACAGGGTGTTCCATTTAAAAAAATACAACTTTGATATTTTTTATTTATTTGGGACACTCTGTATCTTGTAGAAATATTTTTAAATTGTAGCTCTAATAGTCCTTCAACGAACCCCAAACTTATAATTTGTAAAAATCTCATCGTTTAGCTACAATACTCCGTGTCGTATGTGGTGAACAACCCTGTAGTATACCAGTATTTTAGCGAAAAAAAAACATAATCATGTTTCTATTTGCACTTATTTAAGACTCATCCTCTATATATTTAACGTATTTTTTTAAAATCTCTGTATAATAATGATAGTAATAATTCATTTTTATTTTATTTTTAGCCAACGTTTGCTCTTTTGGTACTTCTTCTGGCTTGTGTGGTATCCATGATTTTGGCAGTACCTGTCGCTGACCCTCAATTTGGAGGAGGATTTGGGCATCAAGGTACAAAATTATTTTTAATATTTATCTCTACAATCTCTTCAAAATCAAAATTCTCATGTCAAAAAACTTCCAGACACCAATTTTCATCCAAATATTGACGTTACTTATTTACAGAAATTATTCGGAAAAAATATCTAGAATTAAAAATGAAACTTCTACACCCTGTATCTCCGAAACTGGGCATTTTAGGACATACATTTGTACAAACGTTTTTACTTATTTTTATCTGTAGAATATGCTTCCAAAGTTTCCAGAATAAAATTCAGACTATCCTGTATATTCATTGTAAAAATACATAAAAAACTAAAAATAACGAAAATTGAAAATAAAAGATAATATTTTTTTATAGGTGGTGGATACGGACACCATGGTGGATATGGCCACGGTGGATACGGACACCATGGAGGATATGGCCATGGCGGATACGGACATCAAGGTGGATACGGACATCATGGAGGCCATGGAGGCTTCGGCCATTTTGGATAATTTTAAGACTAGATTAGAAGACTATACATACAAAGATTTTTTTAGAGCTAAAAGATAAGATTTTTTAAGATAGGATTTTTAGATAATTTATTGTTTTGTAATATGATTCGTTTTATTTTTAATAAAACAAAATGTAAAAGATCTATATGTGCTTTTTTATTATAGCTTGGTCCATTTGTCCTAAACTTCAAGAAATAAATAAAATATATATTGCAAACAAAATTGAAAAAAATATGGGTGAAATTTAAAAAGAAATGTATAACAATTAGACCTCTTTCAGAGACGAATTTTGAAACAAATTACTCATATTTTTAATCTTATACGCCCATACAGTAGATTACATTTGCGGTCAAGGTCTAATAATAAATGTAAACATAATAAATGAATTCATTAGAAGACATTTTATCTATAAATATAATTAGCTATAAATATATTTTTTTAATTTAATATTTTAATACTTTTCTTGGAATAATGTTAATCCCAATAGTTAATTCCATCTAAAACATAGAATGAAATAAATGGCAAGTCTCACAACGCAAATTTTTCACCACAAAATGTGAGATCTCATGTAAAACCAAGTCAGTTTATTTTATTTTCTTTCTATGAAAGTAGAGTCTTGTTAGTATAGAATGTTCAGCCATCGTTTACCGTGACGTCATTTATTGTCGAACTCTCTTAATCACTTGCCAATCAGATGAAAGAGATTAGTGACGTCATTACAGACATTAGTAATTGTCGTTGTCATTTGATTTGAGATTATAATTTTATTGTCGGACAGCGATCAATGTCAAAATTAAAAGTTTATTTTTGCTGTAATATTGAATATTCCTATATAAAATACAAACTGATAGCGTTTTTAAGTAATATAGCGAGTTGCTGATGCTTTACAAATAGGAATTTCAATAGTCCAAAGGATTGGAATTAAAGGGATCGCAACTGATGAAAAGTTGAAGAAAAAATTAATAAATGCCGAAAAAACGGAACTCGCTCAATCAATAAATTAGGAACGTACTTAGAATTTTCTAAACAATATGAACAGATCTTAGACACACCCGTAAAACTCGTATTTGACAAATAATGATGACGTACGTATCGGTGAACGATGGTTGAATAGTCTTTCCATATATCAATATTAGACATTTTTATTTCTGTAGCAATTATAATGACTTGACAATTGCAAGGTAAGATAATCTGCTAAATTCAAATAATGCATTCTTAAGTAAACTGTTTATTTACTTAGTAATCCAAATGGTTGAGTAGGCATTCTTTTATAATTACTATGTTGCCGTCCAATCTGTGGCGTAGCTAGGTAACCAAGGGCCCTGGGGTAAATTAAAAATTGGGGCCCCACTATGTAAACTAATTAGGTTTTATCAAATAAAAATATGAAATATACAAATACTTTAAAAATGCTAAGCCACTTAAGCTCTTTTTTGTGCACTGCAGGGCAGGTCATAAAGATATTAAACAGTAACAACATAAATTACAATTATTAATAATTGGTGTAGGTTTGGCTAATAAAACGAAATAGAGAAGATTCAAGGGTTTATTATATAAAGGTCGGGCCTACCAACTGACTAAATAACAATTATATTTACAATTTTTTCCTAGCTTTAGTATTCGCAAAAGTTTCAATGACTTCGTTTAAAATCCAGGCTTTGATGCGGTTTTGTTTTCAATTGGCCCCCGGTCTGCAAATTTTGTATATATATATATATATATATATATATATATATATATATATATATATATATATATATATATACAGGGTGTCACAGAAATAAGTGCAAATATTTTAAGGGGTGGTAGATAAAAGAAACATATTTTTTCTTTATCTTTTTTCAATAAGTCCAAAATAACGGAGTTATTTTACTACGAAAAATTTATTTACTACAATTTCTTGTGTTATATAAAAAGTATATATATAGTATATGACATAAATTAGGATTGATTGACGTATTCAATTCTTTTCGGCCACTTCCTGTTTCACCGGAAATTACTACAACTTTTGATTATTTAAATGGCACCCTCGGTATTTTTTTACTTTACTTGATAGAAAATGACACTCTGAATAGAATGATCATAAGTCAAGTTTTGACATTTTCGCTTAAAACAAAATTGTATTTTATAAATTTCGGATAAGTCCAAAATAACGGAGTTATTTTACTACGAAAATTTGCTAAAATTTTGAGAACCACTGCATCTTTTCTGGATTTTCTTTCTTGTAAATTTAATCTAATACCTATGTTGTCATGGTAACAAGAAATTATGTTTTTTTTAACTAAAAACTAAAAAAATTCCCCAAAAATTTTTTGGGAAGTTTTCAATTTTTTTTCGAGAAAAAAACCTCATATGCCTGTTTCTGGGGTTGAACTATACTACCAGTGAAAATACTAGCACTTATTTCTGGGACGCACCGAGAGGAAAAGACAGACACAGATTACAAGAGGAAAAACTTTTTAATTATTGACGTTTTGAAAAAAATGCGTTCTTCATAAGAATTTTTGCTTGTTGTAAAATGGCGTTTATTATTTCCTAAATATCCATACCGTTTTAGAAAAATAAAAAAGTATAAAAATGTAGTTTTTAACGTAATTTTATCCCCCAAAAATCCTAAAAACTAACAGTCCAAAAATTAAAAGGTTATGGTAATATAATTTCGATTTCATTTTTGATAAATCGTTATAATTAATTTTGATTAACGTCATATTTTTTGATGTTAAAGTATCACATTTTCCGATAACTATTATCACCCTTTCCGTAGCATTGAACTAAATAAATTTTGTGCTTCTTTAACATTTTAAAACACCAAAAAATATAACTTTGATTAAAATTCTGTTAATAATAATCTATCAAAAAATGAGAACGACATTATATTACCATAGAAAGGCGTTTTATTTTTACTAGTTCAAAAAATTCAACTACATTTTCATGTTTTTTTATTTTTCTCTAAAGCTCAATGTCTAAAACGGTATGGAAATTTGGAAAAGTATAAACAGGAATTACCATTTTAGAACAAGCAAAAATTTTTATGAAGACAGTCCGCGGACATCCTGTAAATATAAACATGTTATTCATCGGCAGTGCCGTTTTTTATGTAGGGACCCTAAAGGCCCCAGCTCCAAAAAGGCCTCAAAAACGATAACATCAAGTTTTTTAAAGCTTATAATAATACATTTAAATTGAAAAACGAATGCAATTTGACGTAATAAAACAATCCCCGAGCGAATGTTTGCATATATTTAATGGCAATTTTTGATGACAAAGTGATGGGAATACCGGTTCCACATATAAGCCGCGTTACTTTCGCGACCGTTCCAGGTAAATACCGCGATTTTGTAAGGGGCCCTTTACAAAATCGCGGTATACTCCTATATAGGTCCAAGAATAAATAATAATTATTCGAATATAAAAAATAATAATTATTCGATATTCTAAACAAAGAAAATTACCCCTTGATTTAATTTCGTAAATAGAAAAATATCATTGACAATTACTGGGGCCTAATAATTGATAATTAAGTAAATATCTGCTTCCATTTATACTGTGTTTAGTTTGCGTATACGTATGGTTTGCATACTCCACCTACAAACTGCTTTATAACTACTAAACACATATTGGCCTGTTTACCAGTTGAATAAAAAATTACTTATTAAGATTTGGAGGCCCCTAGAAGAAGGGGCCCGGGGCGGACCGCCCCTTCCGCCCCACCCCCTTAATCCGCCACTGCAGGAATTGTAAAGAATAATAACATAGCTGTAAATACTTCCGTTATGTTGCATTCTAGCACTCCATTTATTTCCTTATATAATTGGTGAACAGTCCATGCTTGAGTTAGTTGAGGTAAAACTAGGTGGTAATCTTTCTATCTTCTGCTGAAGGCGTTCCTCAAGATCTTCTACGGCTTCTTGAAGGTGATTTTGCTGTTCCTGGCAACGTACTTCCAACATTACTTGTTGCTCCTTTTTCATATCCTCGAAGTTTTTGTGAAGTCGAATTTCCTGATTTTCTAAAATTTTCTGAAGCCGGTCCTGTTCTTCTTGCTTTTCTCTCTGACGTCGCTCCTCCAAACGAATTTCCAAATTATCCAACATTTTCTCAAGCCGGTCCTGTTCTTCTTGTTTATCTTGTTGTCGTTGAATTTTTAAATCTTCGAAAATGTTCTCAAGCCGGTCCTGTTCTTGTTGACGTCGTAATTTTCCTCTTCCTTTTCTCTTTCTAATCGGGCTCGCTCTTCTTCTCGTTCTTTACGGAGTCTTTCTTGATCTTCTGCTTTTTCTTTTCGCAGCCCTCTCTTGTTCTTCTGCCTTTTCTCTTCTCATATTCTCCATAAAATCGCCCAATAATTTGCTTACTTCCTCCATTTTCTTCGCTTGCTGTCTCGTACCAACCATAAAAATTCCCAAATTCGGTGTAAAAATCGTCCAATCCACTTAATTTCTTCTTAAAATCCTCTTGAATCCCACTTCTGACACCAATTGTTACGGATTCCGTGGGTCCACTAATTTAAACTCACGATAAAATACTTAACGAATTTATTTTCTCACTTTATACACAATTACTAACTTATAACACACAACAAACTAACTATTTATAAGATTCCTTCACCAAATTGTCCGATTTTCAATTTCCACGCGGTATATTCAAATTTCAAAAACTGTCTCAGTTGTCGATGGCTCCGGCTTATATACTCTATTGACTGCTTCTCGAAATTTCCCCAATTCTCGGAAAGCGTACTTCTTCATACCAGACAATTCCATTGTCTGATTCCCTTACTTCTCGACTTGACTAAAAGATGGCGCCTGAAAAAGTCTTTTAATTTCTGGCGGATACGCCATTTTTCTTGACACGTTGCGGTTGTGCACGCAACCAGTAATACATTTTTAATTTCTGGCGGATACGCCATTTTTCTTGACACGTTCCGGTTGTGCAGGCAACCAGTAATACATTTTAGCCCTTGACCTTGACAATATATTTATTAATCCGTAGTATCTAATAGGTATCTAACTAGAGTGACGTCATAAATCTCGCTCCAAGGCTTTTCTATTAGAGACGGCATTGCGTCAGCATGGCCGCAAGTTGCTAACCTAATAAAATTACCACTAGAAAAGCCCGCGGAAACTGTCAAATTCAAAGTTATTC